ATCAGCATAGAACATGGAAGCTTCGTAGTCTAGAAGAGTGAAGTTGGAAGTCAGATAACTTAGACTTTCTTTGTCATTTTCTTGATTTTGGAGCTTTCCTTTTTTGCTGTTGGTTGCAAGAACGTATTAATTCTTGCTCTGTATTTGAATAATGGAAAACCTTTTTCCTGTTGCGGACACTGACCCTCCAGGAAAAAATCATCAGCATAGAACATGGAAGCTTCGTAGTCTAGAAGAGTGAAGTTGGAAGTCAGATAACTTAGACTTTCTTTGTCATTTTCTTGATTTTGGAGCTTTCCTTTTTTGCTGTTGGTTGCAAGAACGTATTAATTCTTGCTCTGTATTTGAATAATGGAAAACCTTTTTCCTGTTGCGGACACTGACCCTCCAGGAAAAAATCAGTTATGAGCTACATACAGCGACATGTGGAGAGGGGCGGAAACTCAGGCCAAAATTGAGGTGTTCAGGGTGCAGGACGGGTGCAGAGTACTTACCTTGGGTAGTTCCCATTTGGTGGCACAGTGGCACTAAAGCTGAGTCCACACTTGCTCTGGCCCCATGTTGCTGCTCCTTTTGGAAGTAACTGACTACATTTTTGTGACCTTGGGAGAAGGGGGGTGGACGGCAGGCAGTTGGTTTCATGGGCTGCCCTCACCTACAGGCACTGCCCCTGCAGCTCCCATGGGCTATGGTTCCTAGCCAATGGGAGCTGTGGAGGTGGCGCCTGCAATCAGAGTGCAGAACTCCCCAGATCGCTGGGAAACAGAAGTGGCGCTCACAGTGCAGGTGAAGGGGCAGGACCTTAAGGCACACAGGGCTTCCGACCTACGGCATGGAGACTTTCTGCAGACCTGTTGAAATTAAGCAGGGGGTCACATCTGCCCCATAGGATAGAGGTTACCTACTTCCAATGTAAAACACTCTAAGTGGTAATTTAGTACTCTGTCATCTATATCTGTCTAACAGATGTATTGGAGCATAAGCTTTCGTGGGCAAAGACCCACTTCGTCAGATGCATCTGACGAAGTGGGTCTTTGCCCACGAAAGCTTATGCTCCAATAAATCTGTTGGTCTATAAAGTGCCACAGGACTTTTCGTCGCTTTTGCAGATTCAGACTAACACAGCTATCCCCCTGTCATCTATAGCTGTCTGTTATCTCTTGACTTATACTTTACTCCAGGGATAATTCTGCACCAAAAAAATCCAAAATTCTGTGCCAGAAAATTCAAAACACTGCATATTTTATTTGTCAAAAATATAATCACACCAGTTTCACTTATTTTGGTAATTTATTTAAACTACTATGCTGAAAAAGATCACAATAACTGCTCAGCATTTCTTAAAGACATGAAAGTTAAGTTACAAGTACATGTTAATCAAGACCCTGCATTCCAGTTCTAATCCTGGATTTTCATTTAAATTACATTATTTTTGTTTTGATGTTGGGTCGCTGTAAAGTGAAATGTCACTTTAAATTACTCAGACTTTCCCCCAACAAGTCATACAATTTTGCTAATCATGGTCCTGCATTTTTTAAAATGAATAAATAACAAATATCCTGAGCTGTAATCTAACCCAATTGTGCCTCTCTGGCACAGGAAAAAAGCCAGAAAACCTTCCTGGTTGAGGATTGTTACAGTCATTTACCATAAGGCTTCTTTAGACTACTCTGGCAAGGTAAAGGAGCCTTAATTTACTAAGAATGGGAACAATTATCAAACATCAGCAGCCTGCCTTTTTAGTTGTAGATTTTTAAAACAATCTGTCAGGTTCTGTGACCCATCATGTGTTGCATCACTTTTCTGCTCTGCCTCAGAGACAGAGCCTGCTTCACACAGCCCTAGCCTCCAAGCCCCTGATGCAGCAACAGACACCAGCGGGACAGAAGTATAACAGAGATGTGGCCATGTTAGTCTGATCTTGCTGAAACAAAAGACAGGACTATGCAGCACTTTAAAGACTAACAAGATGCTTTATAGGCCCACGAAAGCTCATCACCTAATCCTGTCTTTTGTTTCAGAGGGACAGAGTGAGTCTTCATGCAGGCAGATATTCATGGACACACACATGTACACATGCCCAACCTTCCCCCCATGGTAATCTGTTCTCTGGGCACAGAATTCCCCTGGGAGTACATACTTAGATGTAAGCTGTTTGAGACAGTTAATATAATTTTGCTCCGTGTTTATATTGCACCTTGCACAGTGGGTTTCAGCTTCATAACTAGGATTTCTAGGTAATATGATAATGCAAATAATAGTAATTGTGCATGGTCTCTACTGTTGTTTTCTGTCACAATGTCAGTATTCCCCAAAGTGGATGAACAACAAAATGATTAATGAAGGAAGTGCCTGCCTGCGTGTTCAGAGGTGAGTGACAGCCCCAGAGCAGCAGTGAGGATGAAAAGGCTGTAAGGAAGGTGAGTGGGGAGGCTGTCAGAGAGGCAAAGGAAATCAATCCTGCAATTCCTCCTCCGCCCCTTCCTCCAGCACTTTCAGAGTGTCACGATTTGCCTGATTCAAGCTCTGTCCTTGCTCCTTCCCCTCCCTCCCAGAGCTTGAGCAGCCACGTACAGCTGATTGATGGCATTCCAGCTCTGGGGAAGAGGGAGGGGGAAGAGTGGGTACTGAGCATGAATAAGGTGATTTGTGGTGCTGCGAAAGTGCTGTGAGGGCGGCGGAGGAGTAGAAAGTGCGGGGCTGCAGTGCCCCAGTGTGCAAGAAGTGCCTGGGGAAGAAGGCTAGTGAGGGGGCCTGCGGGCTGCAGAATGCCCACTTCTGATGTAGATTCTTCCTATGCTGACAGTTCTTCTGTCAGCATAGATAATCTACCTGCCTGAGGGCAGTAGCTACATTGGTGGAAGAATTCTGCCATTGACCCAGTGTTGTCTACACTGGGGTTTAGGTGACATCTCTCAAAGGTGTGGCTTTTTCACACACTGGGAGACATAGCTTTGCTGATTTGAGTTCCCAGTGTAGACGAGTCTGGAGTGTAGTCCAAGCATACATCTGCTTTATGCACAAAACTAATGAAATCTTAATGGAATTGGAAAAATGACTCTGGGCTGTTGCAGAAAAAATAAAAAGCCATATAATTAACCTTTCTTAATGTGACACAGAGAAATGTGGGGGGAGGGAGGGAATCTTGGTTTCCACTAATACTTTGATCCATTTTAAATTGGCTGCATAAGTTTTGCTGCTGCTGTTGGAACATGCATCAAAAGATTAAAGTAATAGCATTTGCCATAAGTTGATCTATTAGATAAAAGGTCAAATTTATGTGTAAGGGCAAAACTGCAGCATGTCAGGCATTGTTTACACATGACTCAAAGCTTGTGCTTGAGGAAATAAATGTAAAACAAAAAACCTGCAGACATATTTTTTTCTCTGCTGTTCTGTGGCTTTACCTGCATGGTAATTTGTTGTCCTTTTAGAATATTGCACTGTGAATTTACCAAACACATCAAAATTATCTTTTTCTTTCAGAACGGAAAGAAAATGTATAAAAATTGGGAACCCTTAGTATGTATCTGTGGGGGAATATTATAAAAAGGGAATCTAGTGTTATACTCAGATATTTGAATGCACCTATCAAACCCTTCGAGTAATTATAACCCTTATAATGAAATAGCATAGAGCAATCTGAGCCACTGAAGGTCCTTCTTTTTATTTCTTTCTTTGAGTAGTTTTTATACTGGCCTCACAATAAGGGAGGTTGTGGTATCCAGTATAATGAATTCTGTTTTAAAAGAAGGAAGCGGGGTTTGATTTAAACAACAAGGAGTCCGGTGGAACTTTAAAGACTAACAGATTTATTAGGGTATTAGAACATACGTTTTTCTGAGCTACAGCTCACTAATATAGCATGTTTACTAAACAGCACAAAACAATAACAGTTAAAGTATATTGAAAATAAATATTTTAGAAATATATGAGTATGTCCATCTCAGAGAGGTAGTTGTGTTAGTCTGTAACTTTAAAACAAGTAGTCCTGTGGAAGACTAACAAATAACTATATATATAGTATCATGAGCTTTTGTGGGTAAGACCCACTTCATCAGATGAGTTGGCGTGGAAATAACAGAATCCAAGGGATATTTAACCGCAAAAGAAGTACCTGACAATGTAATGCTTGTGTTAATGAGGCTAATTAAGTGGGCTGGATGTGACCCATTCATAGCTTTTGATGTGAAAATAGGGATGTCAAAGGCAGGGGAAATTGACTTTGTAATGCATTAACCAATTAATATTTTTATCAGACCCAGGATAACAGTGTCAATTTGTAGATGAATTCCAGTTGTGCTGTGTCTCTTTGTAATTAGGTGGTGAAATTCCTTTGTAGAAGAATGGCTACTTTTCAATCCATGATTAAGTGACCAGGTAAGTTAGAATGTTCCCATACAGGTTCACATTTCTGATGTCTGATTTGTATCTATTAATCCTTTGTCGCAGAGTCTGTCTGGTTTGGCCAGTATACATGGCAGAGGGGCATTGCTGGCACTTGATGACATACATTACTAAGGCTCGACAAATTAGTCTATCTACTCGCTGAGGCGAGTAGATTTTAAGCCGGCACGGCACCACAGCGCGATCAGCGCATGTGCAGTGTGCCAAGCCACGTGGCTGGTGAGCAGGGCTTGCTGCCACTTGGTAAGCCCTGTACATTACATTAGAGGATGTGTAGTTGTTTGAGCCCTTGACGTTGTGGCTTATGTAGTTAGGCCCTATGACAGTGTTGCTTGTTTAGATATGTGGACAGAGTTAGCAAAGGGATTTGTTGCAGGAGTAAGAGTATATCAAACCTCTTCATAATAGGGCAATATTCCATCTATTGTCAACGTCCTGCAGTACTTTCATCCATTATTCTGAAGAATTGGGCTGAATCTCACCACAGATGGTCATTGTAAGTTGACGAGGGATATATTATTGTCCAATTATTTTACTTCAATTTTTTCCAGCATTATCTATGTTTCAAGGTTGATTCAGGGTTCAGGAGGTCACTGTTATAAACTGGGATGGGATTCTAAAAAAAAAAAAGTTTGTATGCAAAAAGTATTAACATTTAGCTCAGTAATGCATTAATTTCAGTGAAGTGCTCAGCTATTTATTATTAGTGTCCTAATAATGTCTTTAGAATAAATTTCACTTTTCTACATTCAAGAGGCACTTCATTGGCTGAGTAATATGGAGAAAATATGTGATGGAGTATAACATCTTGAATGGAATAGAAAAAATGCTTGGAGTTTAGTCAATCATTGTCAATTTTATTGCATTGTGTTAAAAAAAAATAATTCTTGTGATGTTTGCTTTCTGCATGTAATTAGCACTTTGTCTGTGCTCATTAGTATGTTTGAAAAGGGAAGTCTTTCCAGAAACATCAGAAAATACCCAAGCTTCAATAATAATCTTTTCATTATAAACTTGCATCAACCTTTTGGGGGTGGCTTATTACAGTTTTAGTGTTGTTTTTTCTTAAAGGGTGCAATCTTTTATCAGGGCTAGGGAAACCTTTTCATTAGTACTTCGGAATGAAAGTTGAAGGAAGTTGTATGTTCTCTTCAAATAAAGATGTATAATTATAGACCACCTTGTCACAGAGTGACAACTTTAGGAGACTCTTAATATACTACACGTGATGAATATGCATATGGAAAAAGTGTTCTACGGCACAGTGTCTCCAAACAAAATTGCAACTATACTGTGTAGATCTGGAAAAAAAATAGTTAAAATGTTCTAAACTGCTTGTTTAAACAGCTTAAACAAGTGAGATACAATAAAATAGTGTCAGCAGTCCAAAAGATAACACTTCTCTCTTACAGTACAGGCAGTCCCCGGGTTACATGGATCCGACTTACATCGGATCCCTACTTACAAACGGGGTGAGGCAACCCCGCACTAGCTGCTTCCCCCCAGCAGAGACCAGGGAGACGCGAAGCTAGTGCCCCCCCCCCTCCCAGCAGACCAGGGAGACACGGAGCGGCTTTTCTCAGCAGACACCTCAGCTTGAGAATAAAGGACTGAGGGAAGTGAGGTGTGGGAGAATAAAACTGAGCTCTGGAGAAATGTTTGGCTAGAGTTTCCCCTACAATATGTACCAGTTCCGACTTACATACAAATTCAACTTAAGAACAAACCTACAGTCCCTATCTTGTACATAACCCGGGGACTGCCTGTACTAAAATCCCTGAGCTGTGGACTACCTAGCCTTTTCTGATAGAAAAGGGGAAACTTGTCCTTCAATTTGCACTAAGATATCACGCTGACCCATCTTATACACAATTCCTCTTCCAAAGGGAGTGGAGAAAGGAAGCTCTCATTCTTTCACCCTATAGCTGCTTCTTTGTGTTTCCCACAATGCCTAGATATGCAAATTCTTACTCCCCACATCATACAAATGTAAATGTTTATACAGGCTTAGACCACTGGTCTGTCCAGCCCAGTATACAGTCTTCTGACAGTGACCAGTACCAGATGCTTCAAAAGGAATGAACAGAAATGGCAATTGTTTTGTGATCCATCGCCTGTGGTCTAGTCCCAACTTCTGGCACTCAGAGCTTAGGGACATCCATAGCATGGGGTTGCATTGCTGACCATCTTGGCTAATGGCCATTGATGATTCTGTCCTCTATGAACTTCTAATTTTTTCTTTAATTTATACACTTTTGGCCTTCACAACTTCCCCTGGCAATGAGTTCCACAGGTTGATTGTGTTTTGTGTGAAGAAATATTTCCTTACATTTGTTTTAAACCTGCTGCCTATAAAATCCATTGAGCAGCTCCTTGTTCTTGTGTTATATGTAATTCCCTGTTTGCTTTCTCTTCACCATTCGTGATTTCATAGATCTCTATCATTTTTCTCCTTGTCACCACTTTTCTAAGCTGAACAGTCCAACTTTTTAGTCTTTTAAAGTTGTTCTGCAGACCAGTCATTTTTGTTGTTCTTTTCTGTGCTTTTAGCAATTCTTGTACATCTTTTTTCGAGATGGGGCAACCATCTCAAATACATGCAGTATTCAATGGATTAATATTGTGGGATTACGATATTTTCCATTTTATTATCTATCCTTTTCCTAATCATTCCAAATATTGTTAGCTTTTTTGACTGCTGCTACACATTGGGCAGATGTTTTCAGAGTGCTAACCACAATGACTCCGAGATCCATTTTCGAGTGTTAACCATCAATTTGGACTGCATCATTTTGTATTTGTGATTATTTTTCCATTGTACATTGCTTTTCACTTAACATTATATTTAATTTGCTATTGTTTTGCCCAGTCAAATAAGATGACTTTGCAACTCTTTGCAGTCAGCTTTGGACTTAGCTATCTTGAGTAGTTTTGTATGTACTGCAGATTTTGCCACCTTGTGTTCTCCCTCTTTTCCAGGTAATTTGAAAATGCTGAACAGCAAGATCCAAGTACTGATCCTTGGAATATGCCGCTACGTGCTTTTTTTGTGAAAACTGACCATTTCTTCCTACTCTTTGTTTCCTGTATTTCAACCGGTTACTGATTCATAAGAGGACCTTGCCTCTTTTCCCATTACTGCTTATGTTGTTTAAGAAGCTCTGTTGTGCGATCTTGTCAATGGCTTTCTGAAAGTCCAAGTACACCATAGCCATTGGATCACTCTTGTCCACTTGCTTGTTGACTCCCACAAATAATTTAAATAGAGTTGTGAGGCATGATTTTGTTTTATAACAGACGTGTTAGCTCTTTCCTACCATATCATTTTATTCTGTGTGCCTGATAATTCTGTTCTTTACTATAGCTCAGACCCATTTGCCTATTACTGAAGTTAGGTTTACCAGGATCGTGTCTGGAAGCTTTTAAAAAAATTGACAGTACATTAGCTATTCTCCAGCCATTTGGTACAAAGGCTGATATAAGTGATAGGTTCAACCCACAGGTAGAGATACCATATTTTAGTTCCTTCAGAACTCTTGGGTGGATACCATCTGTCCTGGTGACTTATTTCTGTTAAATATATCAGTTTGCTCCAAAACCTTCTCTTTTGCTACTGCAGTCTGAGGCAGTTCTTCAGATTTGTAACATAAAAACATTTCTCAGGTATGGAAAACTCTCACACATCCTCTTAAGACTAATACAGAGAATTCATTTAATTTCTTTGCAACAGTCTTCTTTTCCTTAAGTGTTCCTTTATTACCTTGATTGTCCAGTGGCCTCACCTATTGTTTGTGAGGTTTCTTGCTGTTAATATACTTAAAATATTTGTTGTTAGTTTTTGTGTCTTATGCTAGTTGCTATTAAAATTATTTTTGTCCTGCCCAATTATACTTACCTTGCCAGAGTTTACTGTCTCTTTTCTCTTTTACTTCTTTTTCCTGATTCCTGTGAACAATGGAGGTAGGTCAGGAGAGAATGTTTGTGCTGGATGTAAGGGAGTGGTGATGAAAGAAGAAGAAAGGGCTGAAGGGGTAGTAAAGGTGAAACTGAATGAACAAAGGAGAGAGCACCACTCCAAAAAGAGCAAGTGAAGGGAGAGAAGATTAAAGAGTACTTTATTAAACTGAAGGGAAAGGAAACACTGAAAAAAGCTTAAGAAAAGAATCCAAAAGGAAATGGAATAAGGGAATGAAAGAGGGAAAGAACCATAATGAATGTAACAAAGACTGTATGTGGCTTATCATCTTTTTAAAAAGTATTTTAGCTGTATGCTTTCTGTTAAGAAAATGGTGTGATGTGATAGATTTTGCACCCCTTGGCCAAATACACTAACGTTCAGTGAAGGCAGTAAAATGCCAAGTGCTAACTCTGTCTTAGGCTAGCTATGAGAGTCCTGAGAGCTATTTGAGACTATTTCTGTTAGTTGAGCTTTCCTCAAAGCACTCATCTTTGAAAGGCCTTTGGCACAAGTCTAAAATCTGTAACATTCTGCATCACTCAAATTATAAGGTATGACACTGTACCCACTGGATGAACATTCATGCTTGTCTCTCTGTTGGATAGAGAGAGAATTCCACTGAAAATTATTCAGGTGTCATTTTCAAAAGTGCAGGTGATCTTCTTGGTCTTACTATATTTTTATTACAGAATAGTGAGTGCTGCCTGTCTCCTCAGCTCTTTCTGTCAGGTTGCCTCAGGTCAGATTTTATAGCTCTTCTGTGAATACCAGGCACAATGGGGTTCACCAGCTTCAGAAAGGCTGATCCATTCATCTTGGGATGAGCCGTTTGAATTCAGGCTTATCGGTATTGTGTTTGTGAGGTGAGGAATTGGATGCAGATGTTGGCTGTCTTGATAGTGAAGCATCTCTGCTCTTTTGGGATTTTTAATAAGCTATTTTAACTCAAGTATGGTACATTTCTTCAGGCTGGTTCAAAATTTTCCAAATTGGAATATGCATTAATTTAACAGAT